CGTACTTTTCTATCATCGTTTTCGGCATCAATTATACGGAAATGTATATCTCTCATTCTCCTGTAATATCTGACCCACTCAAAACGTTACTCGACCGTATCGCTTCGCAATTTTTGCTATCGCGACGTTTGCTCGTTTATACGCCGCTCTATTGTGTATCGTCGCTCCAGTTTCATTCGCGCAACTCGCGGAATGGAAGAAGCGACGGTAAATATATTATACAGTCTTCGCTGCCCGTTGTCGGTTTTTAGTTCGATATTCTCGTGATTGTGTTCGAATCGGTCAAAGGAGTTCTTACAAAACGATTATGTATGTTCATGAACCACGTGAAAATTCGTGCGAAAAAAAAACCCGTTTCGTGCGGATCAACGTCGAGACACACGTGTTACTAGTTTGGTTTTCAATTCACATATCAAGCCGACGTACGAGATCGAACGTTTGTTTCGTAATCTGTGCGCTGTATCGTCATCGTCGCCATCGTTTTACGGTCACGAATTTCTCATGTCAATTTCGACGAGATGTCACGTTAGGTGAACCGTGACATATTCCCTACCCTCCCAACCCCCGTTTCGCTTTCTTGGTTCGGTATTATATACGCGATACGAAGCGAACAGTCGCGTGAACGTACACACGAACAAAAAAAAAACCGTATCCCACACGAGCACAATTTTAATCGCGTCTTCTGTAAGGTAACAGGTGGGGAAAACAAAAATAAAACGGTTCTATTCGGGAACCCGGTAGTATGAATTAAGAGTGTTAGAGAGTGAAGTCTGAGAAGCAATTTTAAATCGATTCGAAGTTTTTACGACGAACCGCTATCGTGATTGTTGTATGCATGTGTGAGATGAAAGAGAGAGATAGAAAAAAAAAGGAACAAATTGAGAGACGAAATTAACGTTTACGAATTTCAAAGCACTCGCTTCACCCCGATTCATCGTGGTCCCCTTACTTTTGTGATATACAACTTTATTCTTTTTTTTTTGTTTGTTTGTCTTAGTTCGTTGTAAAAACAAAGAACACCGAATGTTCCGTGTACACGGCATGTTATGAATTCCGTAAGCCTGAGGATTCGCGTCACACACAAACACGTACACACATACACAGAAAGAGAGAGAGAGAGAGAGAGAGAGAGAGAGAGAGAGAGAGACAGACAGGATACGTATACACACGATCGTCGAACTAGGGAATTCATAGTCGCGATTATGTTGTAACACGCTGAAACGGAACGAGAAACTTTTTAAGATATTTTTTACGACGCCTCGCGATCCACACGAAAGCAATGGCGGAAGCGTTGAATGATAAAGTAACAAGAAATGAATAAATAAATAAATAAATAACAAAAAAAAATGAAAGAGAAGAGTTGAAACGGCAGCTCGGCGGCATGGTACAGCTTGCGATGAGGAAACTTGCAATATAACAAGCAATAAATAAGCCACTTTTAATTCCATGTATATTAAACAATTATGTGGATGCTTAATGAGATTCATTGAATTTAAACGAGCAAAGCCAAGGACTAAGACGAAATACCGATTTTACATATTCTTACTAATCGTAAACGATTACAATACGTATAGTACGGCATACCTAAAAAAAAAAATTATACGATTATGTATCGATTTAAAAGGGCAGATAAAGAAAAAAAATGGTAAATAAATAATTATAAAAAATAAACGTACGCGGACGGGCGACCGTCGCCGCGGACGGTAATCTAATCTACATAAGTACGTAAAAGTTTCAATTTTACACTACCGATAATAATGACATAACGGTAAGGCTCTATATAAGATATAATGATGATTTATAATAATTATAACGTTGTACAGAATATTTATGAAAGGCACGCTTTTGACGACAGAGCTGCGCGGCGTTTCTTCGTTTCGTTGATCGCTAGTGTCAGAAAAAAAATTCACGAGAGATGGGGTGGGCGGGGGTGGGTGGGGAAGAAACAAGAACGATGTGAACCAAAAAAAGAAAATAAATAGATGAATGAGTGAACGTTTGCCTTTTCGCGTAACCAAAAAATTGTTCGAATTAGTCGTGACTCGAAGCGATCAAAAGAAAAGATGAAAAAAAAATGATAATGGAAGGCAGGAAGTATTTCCAAGCACCTTGCAGTGAGCAAAGAACGCGCGCGACTCTGTATTCAAAAGCGGCCAGACTATAATGAATGTTTTGTAAGATAAAGCAAAACGATCACGGATTATATTGAGATCGTGTTCAGAGAAATGTATAGTCGATTGCGTATTCGAGAAAATTCGAATTGAACTCGACGACGCCTTTCTCTATGGAGGAAAAGTTAAAACGAGAAAGAGAAGGAGGAGGAAACAAGAACAGAACGCGCGAGGCAAAGAAAATGTGAATCCGCGGCTCTTTTCTTCCGCGTATATACGAGCGTTCTGCGCCCCGTCGTAAGGACGAATTGTGGTCCTTCGATTAAAACGATGGTGGACAATTATGAGGCGAGAAAATGTGTACGAGACGAGAAAAAAGAAAAAATAGACACAAAAGATAGAAAAAATGAGAGAATTTATCCGCCACGGGTGTGGCGTAAGAAAGAGCCGTTAATTTAATTCATTGTGTATGTATACAGACAAAAGTAAATATAATATTGCGATTATAAATATTAAACTAATAAAAAATAACAATATTGTACCCCTCTGTACATATAAATATATATTACAATACGATGATTATTACTATATGATTTATTATAAATATATATACATAAATATAAATATATCTCATGAATTCACATTATTATGTTTATTATTGTTTACTTATTATTATTGAAATTATTATCATTGCGATGATAACGAGAATGATGATGATTATTATTATTATGATAATATTATTAATATTTAAGAAAAGGTTCACAACGTGCCGTGTGTATGTGGGAATAAAATATATAATATAATGGACATTGTTCAATTCAATCTACTGTCTTCATTGTTTTTCTCTTCCCTTATTTCTGCTACCTCACACGGAATTTTAAGATACTGTCACCTGTGTTCTAAATAAAGTGATAGTGCCTACGAAAACAACGTTCCTTTTGTATTAATATTAGTATATTTTATGTCTAATATACTTTATTGAAGATATTAATGTTTTCATATACTTGTGGCAAAAATTTCTCTACTAACAAGTACTTTACCATTTACTGTTTTATTTCAACAAAAGAATTCTAAAGCACTATCAGTTAAAGTAGTTATATTATTCTTTTACTTACAATAATATTTTAATGAAAGCTAAAGAATTCATTTATCACTTATTAAATTCCAAGAATCGAGTCAAAAATTTTATTATACTTATATAGTCTTCTTTTAATAACAAGAAAAACCAAGTTTCAATATCACTTTGAATCTCATATCGATTTCTAAAATAATCCTAGTTAAACACGTTCGATATCTGGCTTCTCAATAGAAACCAGAGGGATCGGCAAACAGTCTTAGTGTACAGACCCACTCAGCACGCGTCAACGCCGACGGAGAGCACCGATACCGCTCTCGTTTATTTATGATGTTAAATAATTGCATATATGAAACTTCTTTACCTCTTCTTGAACATTGTAATTTCATAGCCCTAAACTGGGTACCTGAAAGTATATCATTGAATTTGTGTAAAAGATTTTACTACTTCCTAAAAGACTCCGTGTGATATTTGATAGCCTAAAAAACAATGTGCCGATACAGGGTTTCGATTTATTTACGAAACTAATCTGACCAGTTGCTGCATTCTTTGACACTAATTTTCAAGAATATAAAACTTCTATATTTCACTTAATTTGAGAGACACGTAGCTGAGTATTAACATACGTTCATTATTTAATTACTCGCAATAAATACAATTTTTGTAAGTAAATAACGTGTAAGTAAATTCATATGTAAAAATTTACCAATTGCCAGAAAGTAATTGTTCGTGCGTATTAAGATTCTTACAATAGGCAGTAAAACTATTCATACTCCCATATAAATTATAAATATGTAAATGTTAATAAAAGCGATGTATATATTCTCCTACATGTAGATTTGATAAACTATTTATGAAACTACATCTATTCTGAATTTATCTGTTACAAATATACAAATGTAAGGCAAGATATAAAAACGAATAAAATAAGAACATGTAAAAAGTAACATTAATAAAATGTCCATTAACGATGCATTTAGAATAAATTGTCTTGTAGTTAAGTGAAAAAATATATACTTTAAACCTTAAACTGAAGCATCGGATATTTTTATTCCCGTCAAATCATATAGATACACGCAATATGAATGGAATATATAATACTTCATTTGTGCTAATAATACTCAGAATTCATGCTTTATCGGTAACGTCGGATATTGATACTAAATGTTTCTGAAGCCCTCGATGCATGGGACAGAAAATTACATTGCATGTTAGGTCCATTCTTATATCTCGTCTGTGTCTGGACTCTGTAATCGAAGATACCTGCTCGACTATCTGTCGATAATATTACTGGCATCTAATAAATTTAATTTTATGAACAGCTAGAAACGTAGGGAACGCAAGGAAACAATGTTTAGGCTACTTATATACAGGGTGTCTCTAGGGTGAATCTAGAAATTCAGGAAGTCTCGGATCTGCTTTCCTGGGTCTGGTAGGTCTGTAGCTCTAGGATCTAGTAGGATTTGAATCCAAATGACTTTAGACTTAGATACCAAGGTTCCGTAAGTTCTCTGACCTGGTTTCTTGATCTCCGCAGGGCTACAGGCTTCGTTTCCTGGGTCCTGGATCTATGTCTCTAGATGTAGAGGAGTACTTGTATTCACCACTATCATTTAGACCATACTAATATGGGGGCAACTTCAATTTATTACCGAGAATTGTGAAATAATCTCAGAAGTCCAAAAAGAAATAATTACATTATATCAAATATACAAAAACACGTTTCATATAAATCGTAGTGTGTAGTAAAATTAAACACGATTAATCTCTTCTCTATGTTCAAAGGAGCACTGGCACTTTCTTTGTTATTGAAATCAATGTCTTTGTCGAACGACAACCTCCATTGTGGGTGGTGCAGTAATGAAAGTACCGTGCCCGTTCAAGTCGGGTTTAGGATGTTTTTTCGGCAGCATAAAATGAAGCTTTTGCATTAAGCATGCTGTAAAGAGGAAAACTGCGTTTCTCGCTACGACTTCACCCGGACACCTTCTGTGTCCTGAAACAAATAAATAATATTTAACATAGAGAAATACCTTCGATGAATTCATCTATTCTTTTTCTTCTATATTACAAAGAATATTAAATAGTTTATTATTTTCTATATTTTACTCATAACTTTCCCAACAGTTTTTACATTATTTATAATATACTCAGGTAATTTTATCGTTTATTTTATTCATTGAATCATACTCTGTATTCTTCGGAGGTATTACACTTAAGAATTTTTATTATTACTATTTTTTAACTATTATTTATTCAATTGTCACTGTCTACGAATTATTTAGAACTCAACACAATAGTTTACTGTTACTTTAACCACAGACGAGATATAAGGATCTTACATTTCTATAAGATATATAATTCTTATATCTCGTCTGTGCTCTAACTGAGATACTTGTATCGAATTTCTTTATCAAAGCCTACATGAATATGATATCTATGAATTATTTGGACTTTATTATCGATAATGATTTTCTTATCTTTGATACTAATACTTTTCCAATATAACTATCTAAAGAAAACGAGTACCTGCTCCAAAATTCATAACCCACGGATCATCGATGAATCGTCCTTCCTCGTCGATGAATCGTTCTGGTCGGAATGTTTCCGGATCGCCCCAATGTTCCTTATCCAAGTGTATGCTTTTAAAATTAGCTAATAATATATAATCTCGTTTTATCTCGAAACCTAGTAAACTTGTATCAGTCATTGCTCGGTGAGGGATACTGGTTGGTGCAACATTTGCAAGTCTCGATACTTCCGTCACAACTGCGTTCAGGTACGGTAATCTACGAACAAATAATGTTCTAAATTTGGAATAAAAAAAAGTAATGAAACATTCCTAACCGATAATATCATTAGTATTATTAATATTGCATCGAGAATATTATATCTAAATTAAGTTAAATAGAAACCTTAAATTTTTGTATAAATACACTAAACTACAACATTACAAAATATTTTCTGTAACACAAAGAAAAAGAACAAGAATATCTTAACATACCTTACTCTTACTGTACAAGGTACAGTAAGTTACGAAAGTATTTAAACAACATGTTCCTATCTACATTAATAAGTCACATGTTTATAATCTGTGTACACACTGTTTTATTACTGTCTCTCAAAATTTATAAACAGAGTGTCATGTAACTGGAGGTACACCTGGGTAAGGAATGATTCTATGTGAAAAAGTAAATCGAAAATATAGATTAAAATTTTTTCATTTTAGATTTCGTTTACGAGAAAATCGACTGAAAACTAATCTAAAACGCGTGTACTTATCCATAGTAGTAAGTAGAAACGATCTATAATAGACAGACACGCTAACCAAGTCCTATTCAATTGAACGTGTATCCAGTAGATTTTCGAAATCGATTTTCTCGAAATCGAAGTCTTAAATGATAAAATTTTATTCTATATTTTCGACTTTTTTTTTCCACCACTTATATGACAGTTAATTTTATGTATAGTTAATTTTAACTACATAATTTTCACCAGTTTCACATGACATTACCTAGTACACTAGACGTAACAGAATTTTTAACATAAAATTATCGAGAATGTCTTACCGACTTTTATCGCCCAGAGAAGGACACGCACTGATCCCTATGACCCTATCTATTTCATCGTGTACCCTTAATTGTACATCCTGATGCACCACGAGGTACGCTATAATGAAACCAATGGCCTTCTCGGTTGTATCTACACTAGCACTAAATAAATCCTTGAAGACGTATTGCAATTGACTCTCTGAAACATAATGTTTACATCATACATGAGAAAAAAGGGAAGATTTGAATTTAAATTCTGTTCAAATAACATTGATTGTTACATTTAAGAAAGTTTTTAGAAAAAAATACTTTTGAAATAAGTCACATCTGTTCTTATATAAATGAAATATTTATAAATATCACTATGTATTTGTATATTAAGTTTCGACGAAAATATCACCGACTGTTCAGAAAACGCCATTTGTTCAAAAAAAATTTGTTAAAAGAAAATGGTAGATCGAATAATTACAATTTGAAGATATTATTTTAAGAATTTGATAAATAACGGTTGAAATTTTTGCCAATTGGATGGCGACGGTTTAAGTGTCCTTCAAATATTATTACGCATTTATTTTAATGTCGTTTGTTTACAACCGTGAATTCATATGCATCTTCATCTGCATGTGTGGAATATCGATAACTACAAGAAATAAGAAATAAAAGGATAGCAAGATACATGGGAATTTCCTGTCACGAATATCTTGTTATTCCTTTATTTAGAATCTAATTGCACTCTGTTAAGTAAAAATATACATAATGTTCCACTCACGAACCCTAATAATACGTTTCTCGTCACAGTAATCAATGAACTGTGGATTTCATTCATGTATTACTTACGATCCAATGTATTGCAACATTTAATTAAGTTTAAAGAGATTTCCACGATCTAATTGAGATCAAACAACATTTTATATAATATGCAGTGAAATTAGTTGTACAAACGACGTGACTATAAAACAAGCTGAGATAGGAAACTGACGATGACCCCGTTGGATTCAGGAAATGTTTGCCCATAAAACAGTATAATAACCGGTTTATCGGAATCTTTTCCGAAACATTGAATCGCCTTTGAATCGCAACAAAGCAATTGGACAACTAAACCGGTCTTGTACTGTTACGACTGTTGATCCAAACGGTAGTGAAGTCAAGTAACTGTGCAAGGCAGCGAAACTGTTCGAAGAGTTTCAGGGTAAGTGTCAGATATGAAGGATCAACATACTTAAGAATTACTTATTGACTTACAAATAGATATGAACAAAATAAATATTATAGTAAAATGTCATGATGTTTCTAGGTTCTTCTGGGTTCGATAAACCTCGCAATAAACCCTTAACTATCTTTTTTCAATAGTTATTTCAAGAGATTCTTATTCATATCGATGTTTCCTTGCACAGGAATGCAAAACAACTAGTTCTGTAATAAGTAATAAGATTTATTATATTCCCATACAATTCCTCCCTGAAAGTCATTTTTAGTCTTTGTTATCGAAAATGTTAATTTATATAAACAACCACTGTCTATTAATTATTTATGTATCATTACTCTTTGGTAATATTGAAATGTCACGAATTTACTAGATAAAGAAACAAAATTGAAACAAATGTGCGTTTTGTACGATCTGTAACTTTTCTGTAATACATTCAACGTTTTGTTAATAACTTTATATACAGGCCATCTTGGATACCACTGAATAAAGTATATTTAAATAAATAAATAAGTACAGGAACAGGATTCAGCTAAAAACAGAAAGACAATATAAATTACCATTAAAGGAAGAGTTTTGTTTTTCTATTTCTATCTTCTGTAAATAAGAGTCTATAAAATTTGTGGATTCTCCAAACACTCGATCCTTTTTATGTTTCGATATCACGTCCTATAAACATAGCAATACAAATTAAGGAAAAACTATTAATTAAAAAGTGTTGTAACAAATGCATTATTAACAATGTAACAAATATACATATGTATAAGTCAGCAAATAAATATTAGTACAAGCCTGTATCTTCTAATTATCAAAGTAATAAAAGAATGGAACGATAACGAAAGAAAACCACACCCATAATTGTTTATTTAAATACAATTTCAGACTTTGAAAACTCTAATGTATTTATTGTAACATTGAATCTAATTGTTATAGACGAATATTAAATTCAAATCCCTATGAAAATTCTACATCATTACAATCCTAAAACTCACCATGAAAAAACCATCTATACGTTTTTGTCGTTCAGCAAACAATGAGAATCCGGTGAAGCCTGGGAAAATAAGTCTCAAAAAGGGAAAATAATTCACAATGCCACCCACAACAGATGCATTTATAAGAATATCCTTCAGCACCTTTATTACTTCCTTTAATTGTGGGCTTTCCATGCCCACCTCGAATCTGAATTATTGTAAAGAGACATGGTATGTAACAAGAAAAGAAGGAATTAAAATGTCGAAATATCGTTTACGTACTTCGTTCCTTCCAGCAAGAACCAAACGTGGCTAAATACATCTTTCCGAAGCCAACTTGCATTAGAGTTTTCATTGTAAACCTACACGCGTAAAAAGTAACTTTTTAAGTGAATTTTGTGAGTATGGCCGCTGTGGTTAAAATTTTAAATATTAAGCAGAGAATTGTACTGTATACTAAAATGATTCGGATTTCGATTCTGATCAGGAATTGGGTCCGTAACAGTGCGGTTATAGATCGCATAAAATCCGCAGTTTAGTTATCATCGATAATTCTAATTTTATCAACATGTATACTTTTTTTGGCCCTTCCAAAAGTCGGAGTCGGTGAAGACCAATCCTTGCATTTTGCCGCCGCATCTATATTTATACATAAATCCATTCGGTCTGCCGTCGAATTCCGGCCGATTCATCATGATTGTAACAGCTTCCTTGCCGGAAACGATGATCATGGATTCCTTGAATCCTAATCGAAGACCGACGACTGGTCCGTATTGGTCGGCCAATCGACACCAAGTGTCACAGTACAGTTTCTCTTTCTTCGCTAATTTCGCGATATCCAGCAGATTGCCAAGGATCGGCAAACCCCGTGGCCCTTCGATGGCAAAAGAGTAAACAAAAAATGAAAGTTTTTTAAGTAAAAAAACAAAATAAGCAGTTTTTCAAGTAAAAAAAAAGGTGTAAAAAATTGAAAACGTGAGATCATGCGAGAATTTCGTAATTCCCGCGGAAATCGATTTACCTGGTGGAAATCTTCGCGGTCGCCTGAAATGGTACAACACCAACAATATTAACACAGTCACGAGACATAAGGTACCGAACCACATTGTTGAATTACTGTATACCACCACTGATAAATCACTGATTCTTCTACCTTACTTTTACACAATTACAGTGTTTTACACTTGTCACGTGGTAATGGACTATATCCCTTGTTAAATCAGTTTTTGATTACACTTTTCGAAGTGACACGTTTACTTAAGATTAATTTGTATTAATTGTAAGCATGACATTATCTGCATTATTCTAATCGATCAGATTCTAGTTGTTTCTATCAATTCACTATCCAATTGTGGCAATATTCCTTGTGTTGGGGTTCAATGTGATAGACAGGTTGAAGAGCACCGTTGACTCGTGACGATTGGTGGAAGCAGAAATACAAAACTGCGCGGCTCGATTCGAAGTATACTATACATATACAGAAAATCATCCTTTCACCGACATGTTGTGTAAGACTGTTAAAACTCGTCGATTCACGTCCGTGTAGGTAAAAATTCGTATAGGTTCGGTTGTACACCCGAAACACGGTATCAGAAATGTAAAACGTGTTTAGCCGACGTCTGACTGGTGGTTACAAAATCCCAGCGTGTAGTGATGGGAATTAATAAATAATATGCACGTCTAAAAAAAGTGAACAATTGTATGCTCAAATACATATAAAATAAAAACCACTGAATTTCTTTTACCATGTTTATTTTTGAAATTTAATATTAGCAAAATATTTCTCTAAAACCGGTAATATTTATTTTACATCATTTATTATACTCTGTCTTCATTGCATTTCCTGTCAGTAAGAAATATCATAGAATCAGTTGACAAAACGTTGGGTAAAGTTAAATTTCCATAGAAACATCTACAATATGCTTCGAAACATTGAAATACATTACTATACGTATTAGAAAACACTTTTACCATTATTATCTCTTGATAAATACAGATCTTATTATGTATCATTCAGTAGTTATCTTCTTCTTGGAAAAAAATACACTTGTACCATTTCTCCACTGAATCCCTCGGTTAATATTTCATTAAGTTTTTATATATGCTATCTCAACAGAACGTTTTAATCAGTTGTTTCTATTAATAATTTCGATCATCCTCTGTTTAAGTGTAGAAGATTCGAATCACAAAGACGAAAATGTAACACAAACTGTGACACAGCTTCTGTTTCCCAAGACCACTTAAGGAACATAATCAATTTTCTACACGACACAATACCATTACTCTAAAATCTAATTACCTTTAAACATCGTGGTACAGACTGAACTTCATCGCTAATGACCTATATAGTAACCGATGCGACCTAAAAGACAAGAATAAAGAAATTTCAACAATTAACTCTCTATCTTTCGTTACATTTACAGTAACCTGAACATTTCTTCAAATTTTAAAGTTATAAATCAACGTTTCTAGTTAGAATTTTAAAAGAAGGCAAAGCAAATTCAACCCGGAACAAAAAAATACATTCATTAAAAAAGTGAAAGTATACTGTTATACTAAACATCGTGAAAGAAATATGTGTATCTTGGAGAAAATTTTGGAAAGGATTCATCTTCAATGCAAATCACTGAAGTGACTTTAAAAAAGGTCAATGAGTCATTGGTTTATTATCGTCTGATAACAGCTTTTTGGTTTACCTCAATGAACTCACTAAGAACATCATTTTATTGTCAGTTAACATGGTTACCGCGAGGCAATCTTTCGGCTGACTTCTACTTATTGCCAGCACGAATATAGCATACATGTCCCAACTGAATGTCCAAAACCCAGTTTTCTTGAAAACGAAACGTCAAACGAAAAACATTTATTCCATTTTTCGATTTATATTTTGTTGCGATTTATATATGTTAAATCACGAGTCATTCAATCACGTTCCTTTCAAAAATCACTGTGATTTTTCACACGATTTTTCGTGATCGTTTCTAATTAGTGGAGAACGTAACAATAATTCTACGCACGCGTCGCATAACCTGTACGCTATACATTAACGACATCAAAATAAAAATGAGAGGTACATCGTATAAAATAAAGAAATACAGCAATGTCTCGATGAGTGAGACGTACTTAGGTCCGTTTCGGAGCATTCATGGCAAGGCGGTAAGGTTTTTAGCCCTTATAAATTTATTTTTACCCGAAGCCGAGCCTCTACTTACCTTCTGTTTACTCTGTTTTGATTGATTCCAGAGAGATACCCACCACTGTTGGGAATAACGCCGTTACTCGTGTCGCATTCATCGAGGAATCACTGTAATAAGGAACAACGACGAATAATGAATAAATTAATGATTATAAATTCTAATCAACAATACATGTTGTGTAATTATAGCAACTCATTCTTCTATAATTTCATTATTTCTGTTGATGTTTGAAAACGCAATGTCAATGTAATTCATTTCCGAATCATACTGGATATGGCTTTCTTTTTAACGATCAAGAGTTACAATCACAGCGAGCAAATTCATCGAAGCTAAAAAAATCACAATCGTAAATGAAGTTTAAATTACAACCATGATCATGATTCTGCGATCACTCTGATAAATCCCTGTTAGTCATTCTTCACACCATCTCTAATTCCCAATCAGTTTCGAGAGACCGGAACAGGCAATATCGCGTCGTTTCGACTCCTCGTCCCACTGTTCGAGAGTTGATCGATCGACGAAATTCTTCGCAATACGTACCTACCAAACACGCCGGTGTTTGGCTCCCGATCGCACATTAACAACAGCGTAATTGCAAAGCGCGTGCGCAAGAGACAAAGACAGAGAGTAAAATATGCAGTTACTAAGTACGTTAAAATTAGAAGCTGAAAATATCCAGGTGACCTTTAAGAATGAGGTCCCGTGGTCATCTCAAGGTAGATCATCGACCGTGAGGAGGTTCTCCTCACCGATCTCCCACCCCCCCCCCACCTACCTCCTACAACCGTTCCCCCTCCCCGCGTCATCACCCCCGTTTCTCTCGCACAAGTTCCACTCGGCCAGCAGCTAGTCATACCGTCGCTGTGACACACTTCCGACTGGAATTCTTTTTTTTCGCTCTCTCTCTCTCTCTCTCTCTCTCTCTCTCTTTCTCTCCCTCTCTTTTTTTTTCCTTCTTTTTGTTTCGTTCGAACGCGTTCCGTATCACAGGGTTCAACGATCCATCCCGAGAGTGCGATCTGTTATACGTGTGGTACCACAGTAAGCGGGGCCCCGGCTAGTAGGACACTGGTCTCGATAACGCTCAGAACGTGTACAAGGGCTTGGGCATCGAACGCGCGATGATGATGATACACGCCCTCCTCTTTCTCTCTCTCTCTGTCTCTCTATCCACCGTATTCAGAGGCCGCGTCGGAGTCGATTTTTAGGTCCCTCTCTCGTAACGGCCCTTGGTTTATACATACACACGACGCCGCCGACAATATGATAATCGCATGGACAACGTGTGCGCGCACGTCATTGATCGACACTGTGGGATATAACGTGCTTGGACAGTTCGGCCTGGCTTCCGTAAGAAGTCGTTTAACACGCTCACTGCGATGCTGGTCACCGATTACAGGCGCCATTATACGAAGAAACATGGAATCTTTGAAACAGGATTTATATTATAGAAGGATACAAACATTGTTTAGCGTTTTATAAATTATTATGAGTAGAAACACCATTAACCCTTCAACCGTTTCGTTCGTACTCGTATCGTATGGCTACGTATTTTAAATTACAAAATAAAATATTAATATCATGTATGTTTTCATATATGTAAATGTATAAGGGTGTCCCAAAATAGATGTAAGTTCTTGGAAGGGATGATTCCTGGGGTGATTTGAAAAAAACTTTTTCCTTAGCGAAAAAGTTCTCCGAGGCTTCGTTAACGAGATATTAACGAAAAACCCCGACCAATCAGAGTTCGGCCGGCAGACTCGCTCCCTGATTGGTCGCGGTTTTTCGTTAATATCTCTTTAATAAAGCCTCGAATAACATTTTTGCTACGGAAAAAATTGTTCCAAATCACCTCACGAGTGACCCGTTGTAGGGTACTTACAACACTTTTGTTTCACCCTGTACAATAGTGTCCCTAGTGTTGTATAGATAGTACTGCACAGATTTCAATGTGTATTTAACAGTTTCTCGGCAAAATAACACATTGGCTTGGTTTTTTTTTAAAACATCGAGCTCAGGTTGAAAAATATAATTAGTGGTAGAGTAATAATGAAAATGATGTGTTTTCAAGTAAAAACATAAAGACTAGTATTTTTAATAACAAAGACCTAAACCAACGTGTCTTGTCATGATACTGTCCTAACAGTGGAAATTATGGCATTCAACGAGTTAACTTTTCCTTGTGACCACAGTCAATGAGTGAAATTAAGTTCTCAGTGTCTGTGTGCAGTCTATGGCTGTTAGGTTTGTGATGCCGTCACGAACCCAGTTCCTGATCAGAACCCAATTCCTGATCAGGTAAGTATATAAATATCATATAATAAGTTTATTATAATTAAAGTTTGTTTCCCAAAAAATTACTAAATAATTATTAACAATTTTGAAATTTGTACGTAGTACTTGATAGCTCAGAATGAGATACGGATATATGATTCAAGTGATTAGAAATTGCTCTTAAGTGATCGGGAATTGGGTCCGTAACGGTAATTGGAAAACTGTACGTAAAATGTTCATTAGCTGTTTAGAGCTGTCGGGATTTTATACCCGTAGTGAAATTAATCGATCTGTTTCAAAAGTACTGGAGAAAGGTGTTGATGTATCGGTGAATGAAATATGAAACGATATTAGAGCGATTTAAATCGCGTAACGGAAATTGCGTAATGTGGGGCGATAGTATTATGTCTTCGTATGACATTAATGTTATTCAATTGATACACTTAGTTATCAACGTGACCTTTTTGTGATGACCAAATTTAGGTACTTTGTAAATATTTAGTAGATCAGCGTACAAAAACTGTTAAACCGGAAATAAAGTTCTATCCAATATTAATTTGTAGGTAAAACTTGCTTGTGACTGAAACTGTAAAGTTGCGTCAATGTCCGTGGTCTACTTATAAGTAAAATTCCTG